TATAATTCACAGCGATTCACACACTTTCTTACGGTGCCTACTGCTCGCTTGACTCAGTTATCTATCTCTGTATCTATTTCCGGCTTATATACTAAAACAGAGGGCGTCTAGCAAACGCTGGGACATTCTTGAGGTTGCCCACTAAGTCAAGATCCTTCTAGAAACTCCAGCGCGCATGCTCACAGCGTCACGTGACTTCCGCTCTCGTAACAATATGCACATCTGACAAGAGAAATGTGTTTGTCTAACTTTAAGAATATAATGTCTATTTCACATATGTGTCCAGACTTCTGGGACATCCTGTATATTGCTTTGAAGGTCTTTATGGTCAAACGATGAGTTCGCAGAATCAAATCACATGTCCCAAACCAATTGACGCACACTTTCTGATATTTTATTTCCTGATAAATTAGAAAGTCACAAACTACTTGCCATAAATAAACCTGGTCAGTGCTTGTGCAAGGTCACCATTGGAGATTTTTTGCTTAATTTATTATTATTTTTTTATACAAAAAACTTTCGAAAATATTGGTGACAAAGTTGTTGTCGTTGTTTTTTTTTCACAAAATTCCCTCTAAGCTATCCTAATGTGTTTACAGTGTAGAAACTGCCATCTTTGTTTTATCGCTATCACATGGAGGTGTGAAAATACCTACAAAGGGATTTTTGTTTATTTGCTGAATTTCGCACAAAGCTACTCGGAGGCGCTAGCTGCCACTATTTTTCAACTGATAGATTAGATAGAAGGCAGCTAGTCAACACCATCCACCGCCAACTCTTGAGTGACTCTGAAGAATAGTAAGAATGCCTCTTCCCGGCTGAAACGTCGAATATTTTTGGTGACGCAATTCGATCCCACAACCCGCAGATTGCGCGTCAAGTGCCCTAGCCAGGTCCTAAAAAGATATCAGAATCGTTTTTCTTTTTAATAAAAATGCTTAATTGAGGTGGGCATATTCATGAGGTGGTAAGTATAATCAAAATTATAACAACAATACGGTATAAAGAAATTTATAAAAAGTAGTGATAAAAATAGATGGGGGTATAGATAGCTAAAAAACAAAAATAATATGAACATTGCCGCTTATAGTGCCTTCTAGTTCTAAATTACGGAATTATTTACTTACGTATTCACGTCAAACATATCATAGCTGATTTTTTTATATTCTGCAGCAAAGCATACAATCCCTGACGTCATGGTAGAAACAAATCATTTGAAAAGCAACCTTAAACTTCCTTCTAATGGTATCCCTCAGTGGCAAAGCGAAAAGTTCTACTAAAAAACTGGGTTTCGAGACTGGTGGTGGGCACAGTAAATAAGTTCATTGTGTAGCTTTGGGCTTAACAATAAGCAAACAAACCAACCAGTGGGTTGATTTTATTTGTCAAATGATTCACCTTAAGTTATGAAGGTTTTTCTGATTATCGTATTAAATATTACCTGTCGTCCTACCTTACTTTTCAGGCAAAAATCGACAGCAAAGGATTGGTGTATTCAGTAGTCCTTCTTTTCCTGACGATCATTATTACGGTAAGAAAAGTTATTTTCCGTAACAATCAAATATTTTATCACAGTTTATATTAATATCTTTATATCAAAAAAAGTGTTTACTGTTTTAAAAAGCCAATTCTTCTTATTTCGCAGATATCATCCATTGTACATGTTTATTTCAATTAGAAACTTAAAAACGAATTAGTCTAAGTATGCTCTCTCTCTCTCTGTTTTTGACACAAACATATTGTCAAAATGTTGTATTTTTGTAGGGGATTATAACCGATTTCCCTAAAATAACACCTCCAGTTCGTATTAAATTTTACTCGAGCCCTGTATAATAGTAATATGTTGACTTCATGAAGTCAGTTAAATTTTAAACGTTAAGTTTGAATACTTACAATGTCAACAGTTTGGATTTTGGATATTTAAAACTGGGCTAAATGCTGATTAATTTTCTATTTGTTTTATGATTGTCAGGCCCAAGCGTTTAATGCTACAATTACATACAGTATCGGTTATCTTTGACCTAGTGTGGGGCCTAAGAATAATTTAAGTGAATTTTAACAGAGCATTTTTAACATGTGCTTCCAAGTTGTGAATTTTAAAACATATCTGAAGAACGTTTTTTAAGATGTGATTTGGTTTGTTTAGAGATTTAAAGTGTTTGTTTATTTCTTTGTTGTTTTTTTGCGCAAAGCTACTCAGAATTAACTGCGCTCTGTCCACCGCTGAAAATCGCATTGCAGATTTTAGCGTTGTGATTTAAAAAAAAATGTTTTCTCTGTAGATTTACGGGATTTACAAGAGTAACTGGCAGCTCACAAGACGGCTAGGGATGCTGGCACTTGGAGTTTATTTCATTTTCTTGTTCATCTCCATCATGTTAGAGTTTAACGTTGTTGGCACATTGAACCCACTGATGTGTCCCGAGTGACATCAATAGCATCGTATTTACAAGATATCTTTTTTATTTCATTATTTGTGCTTATTCAAGGCCTAACTGCTTGTAAACTATTTTTCTTTTATATAACTCTGATTTCTCGATAGTTGTTACGGTGAGTTAGTTCTTAATATAAAGCTTTTGGAAGGACTTGTTATCTGTTGCTAGTATTTCGTCCTCCCCATACAAAAATTAATTCGACTTACTTAATTCAGTTATTATTGTTTCATTGACAAGCTCTCCAGATGCGAACAGCATCGAGTTTGCTGCTCTTGTTCTTTTAAAACTTGGTTTCAAATTACTCTAAAAAACGACCAGTAAATGTTCTTGATGCACGCTTTTCTATTGATAAACTCTGCTGTTAGGAAATACTACATCAACAGCACTATGACCATTGTCCAGATGCAGACAATCGTTTAATTTTTTGTTTTTTTAAACTTGGTTTCCGAATTACTCTAACAAAACAACCAGTAAATGTTCTTGATGCACGCTTTTCTAACAAATTTGTGGCTTTCTAATGATGTCGATTGTTTCTATGAGCTAAAACTATCTTAATTCTGTGTAAACGTAGTTAATAATTTGTTACAATGGCTTGCAATCTATACCGTATCATTAAACATTATCAAGTTAAAGTTATCTAGAAATGATCACTGTAAGCACAACTGTTATGATTTTGTTGTCATTTTCTATTATCCATGTTTGTCGTAATTCCTAGCCATAACAATGATTTTGTTTTTTTCTACAGAAATATTTTTCGTTAGGACCAAATTCAATGAAAAGAGATTTGGTTATAGTTAAGCAAATAGTTACACAATAGGCAATCTGTGCTTTGCCCATTATGGGTATCGAAACCCGATTATTAACGTCGTAACTTTGCAGACTTACTGCTGAGCCACTGGGAGGTAAGTGACAAAGAGAGAGATAAATGTTGATGAAGAATAAAAATCACATTCATGCCTCTTATCTAACGGAATAGTGCTCAATTCTTGGTTTAATGTCTATACATAAAAATAATTATGCCCATGACTGTCATCAATACCAAAGAATACCATATATATATATATGGTAGTGAACTACTGTCTTTAGAAATATTGATCATGATTGTTGTTTAGACCAGTGGTGCTCAAACCTTTTTATGGCACCCCCTTTCTAACCACGTGTTCTGTAGTGCCCCCCCCCCCCGTACTTCGTATAAACTATTTGTGTATGTACTGTATATTTCATCTTCCCATCATAATTGTTGTTACTCTCTTACTTTATAGTAGCAATATTTGCATGGTAGTCTTAAAACTTATTTATTTTTTAATTTGTACTTTCAGATATAATTTATATGTTCCTATAGTCAGAGTTACGCGTCCCATGGGTTTAGACGAATATTAATCGTCTCCATGAGCAATTATTTACAATAAATCATATCCTTGTATTAACTACTGTTTATAGGAATACTGATTATGTTTATGGGCGTTGTCTATAATAATATTAACCAGTATTATTAACTCCTGTCTACAGTAATAGCGATCACGTTTATGGGTGTTGTATTTTAACAATATTGGTCACCATCATTAACACCTGTCTACAGTAATAGTGATCATGTTTATGAGTGTTGTATTTTAATAATATTAATCACCATTATTAACACCTGTCTACAGTAATAGTTATCATGCTTATGAGTGTTGTATTTTAATAATATTAATCACCATTATTAACACCTGTCTACCGTAATAGTTATCATGTTTATGAGTGTTGTATTTTAATATTAATCACCATTATTAACACCTGTCTACAGTAATATTGATCATGTTTGTGGGTGTTGTCTATAATGATATTAATCACCATTATTAACACCTATGACCTATCTACAAAAATAGTGATGACGTTTATGGGTGTTGTATTTTAACAATATTGGTCACCATCATTAACACCTGTCTACAATAACAATGATCATATTAATGGGTGTTGTGTATGTACGAGTATTAACTACCACCGTAACAATTGCCTATAATAAATCATGTCTCTGAATGTTGCATATAAAATTATAAATTACCTTCATGAGCTACTATTTAAAGTTATAGTGATCATTTCTACATTAGTTCATCTTTTAGAATATTAATTGTATCCACAAACTACTGTCTACAGAAAATGTGATCAATATGTGGGTATTATTTACAGAAATATTAATCATCTCCTTGAACTACTGTCTATAATAACTGTGATCGTGTCTATGGATGTCCTCTTTAACAATATAAATTACATCCATGAATTATTGTATAAGATAACGTATATGGGTGTTGTCTATTGGATTATAAGTAATTTAGATCACTGTTGTTTATTGAAATATTAATCATATCGATTGAGTGTTGTCTATAGGAATACTGATGATGTTCATGACCTGTCCTCTATCAGGGCAGCAGTTATATCCATAACCTGTCATCTTTAAGAATAGTGATTATGTCCAGGAGTTGTTGTTTATAAGAATAGTGATTATATCCATGAGCTGTTGTTTATAAGAATGTTGATTATGTCCATGAGTTGTTATCTGTAAAAATAGTGATTATATCCATGAGTTGTTGTCTGTAAGTATAGTGATTATGTCCATGAATACTGTCTATAATAAATAGTGATTATGTACATGAGGTACCGTCTATAATGAATAGTGATTATGTCCATGAGGTACCGTCTATAATGAATAGTGATTATGTCCATGAGGTACCGTCTATAATGAATAGTGATTATGTCCATGAGGTACCGTCTATAATGAATAGTGATTATGTCCATGAGGTAGTATCTATAATAAATAGTGCTTATGTCCATGAGGTACTGTTTATAATGAATAGTGATTATATCCATAACCTATCATCTTAAAGAATAGTGATTACATCCATGAGTTGTTGTCTGTAAGAATAGTGATTACGTCCATGAGTTGTTGTCTGTAAGAATAGTGAGTATATCCATAACCTGTCATCTTAAAGAATAGTGATTACGTCCATGAGTTGTTGTCTGTAAGAATAGTGATTATGTCCATGAATTGTTTGATATAAAAATAATGATTATGTCCATGAGGTACTGTCTATAATAAATAGTGATTATGTACATGAGGTACTGTCTATAATAAATAGTGATTATGTACATGAGGTACTGTCTATAATGAATAGTGATTATGTCCATGAGGTACTGTCTATAATGAATAGTGATTATGTCCATGAGGTACTGTCTATAATGAATAGTGATTATGTCCATGAGGTACTGTCTATAATGAATAGTGATTATGTCCATGAGTTGTTATCTGTAAGAATAGTGATTATATGCATGAGTTGTTTGCTATAAAATTAGTGATTATATGCATGGGTTGTTTGCTATAATACATAGTTATTATATCCACAAGATGTTTGCTATAAGGATAGTGATTATTTCCATAAACTGTTGTAAATAAAATTAGTGGTTATGTTCATACACTTTTTCTATTTGTGTTGACTATAAGAATATTATGTCTATGAACAACTATCTGCAGAAATGGTGATCATATCAATAACTATTTCCTATAGGAATATTAACCCTTTAGGTGCATATTTTTTTCCAGTCATATCATGCTCAAAATTATTGTCAGATAGTTCTGGTTCAGAGCCAGAATTATCGTCAGCTTGCACAAGTACAACTGTCTCTTCAAGTGTGAAAACACTTGAGCAATTTGATGCTATTTTGGATCCATTTTCTCATAAAAATCAAACAATTTTCAACTGCAAATATTAACTATGTTTTCAATAGCAACATACACCATGTTGATGATGAAGAATCCACTTTTTTTAGAAAATAAAGCTTGGAGAAGGCTTGAATGGGTAGTGAAAGAAACTTTATTACAAATGTACAACATTTTGACAAGCTTATATTATCATCCTAATGATGACATAAACATGCGTCATGTTGGATAAGAATTTGGCAACTGAGATCGTCATCTGTACAGATTAGGTTTTCCCTATTGATTTTGTGTGCTCGATTCACATTTCAGGACATTATTATGTGGTCACCATGTGGCAATGGGCATGCCTAAATGGTTATTCATATTAACTGTTTTCCATAAGAGTATTGATAAAATCTATCAACTCTTGTCTCAAGAATAGTGGTTTATGTTCATGAACTGTTATCAATAGAACAATGTTTATAAGTTGTTGTCTATAAGAATGGTGGTTTATGTTCATGAACTGTTGTCAATAGGATAATGTTTATAAGTTGTTGTCTATAAGAATAGCAATGTTCATGAACTGTTGTCAATAGAACAATGTTTATTAGTTGTTGTCTATAAGAATATGGTTTATATTCATGAAATGTTGTCAATAAAAACAATGATTGTAAGTTGTTGTCTATAAGAATAGTGGTTTATATTCACAAACTACTGTCTATAGTGTTTAGATGATTATTTAACTTGTTTGTAACTGATGTTTATTGAAATAGTATTTGTAGAAATATTGAACCAGCTTGCCTACAGAAAGTGACCATAACTATGATTTTCCAGAAAATTAATAAAGACTGTAAAAGTGATTTAAAATACTCCATTATATCTTACAAAAAATCTTTTAACCTTTGTTTGTCATTAATAAATGTCTTTTTTTTGTTAAAGTGAAAACGGAAAAACAATTTTCAAATCTTAATGGTTTTTCAGTGATTACAACTATCAAGTTTTATCTCTGAATTTGTTAGAGTTACAAATTATTGTAAATTAATTAAGTATTTTGTCCAATTCAGGTTTACAGATGTTTTTATGAATTCACACTCATATAACGTCAAATTTATATGAATACTAATTTCGACATTTCACGTGTCCTTTTCAGATCAATGTTGAAATGTCAAAAATGTTATTCACATAAAATTTGGTATCATTCCATAAGCCTGGACTTAATATTTATTGTAAATTACTTTACACTGTATTGTGTATTTACGTATTATTTTTATGAACATTTGTAAAATGTGATTCATGTGTTGTTCTAAGTAACTTTTCAGTATATAATATTCTATCAAGCTTACTGTGGGGCTAAGTATGTTTTTCATAAAAAAAGTGGCAAACCTAAAGTTGGTTTTGGATGAAATTATAATGATTTGTTGGATATGGTATTAAAAAAAAAGACAATGAGAGAGATTAGTTGAACAATTTTAGAAACATTTGTGCTGAATTTGTAAACAAAGCTTATAGAAAATTTTTGGATGAACTGGCCTAGGGATGGAAATTACTTGTAGTGTTGCTACACACACACAAAGTTAATAATCAAAGTGTGTTAAAATATACTTTTAATTTTTACCAGTAGAAATATTTCAGAAAACCAAATCAAAATATTTTTAAGTGTTTTGCATCATACAGACGATGAATTACAAAGAAAACAACATTTTAATACTAATCCAGCTTCAGTGCTTTATCGTCTCTCATTGTTGATACTGGTTTTGTAGTGTCTTAAATTCTAAAATAGTGTAACTATCACTAAGTAAACATTGATTACAGTTTTAATAAAGGGTAAAAAGGTCAGTTCTCCTATAACGTAAAATGAAATAAAACGTTCTTTTATTAGTAGTTTTATCCCTGGCTTTTGAGCTCTGTGATGTACTTTTTACCAGCATAAGGAACAAAAGAGTAATTGAGTTATGTATGCCAAATCCCACCTCATAATAGATGGGGTGACATCTATCAACCTCAACATGAACTGCTAGTTTTCGGGTATAGCATATTCAGGAATGGATCTTCTTCCACATGGTTCTTTGTACATAAATATTCCAGGTATCTTGTTGTAAGTTCTATTCATTTTATTCTATTTCTAAATTAAAGGTAAAGTAGGATACTATGACCCAAGGTTGTCATTTTTTCTTATTAATGTGTGTGGGTTATAATGCTTATTTCAGTCAGTAAAGCATATTTAATCTATATGAAGCAAGATGTATGTATCCTATTTCTTTCAACTTCGTATTAATAAGCTGTGTGTTATTTACAGGTGTGTCAGCACAATGTTCAATGTATACAGTATCTCTTAATGTTCATGGGCAAAACCCGGTACAATTTACTGTGCGCTGGAATGATGGTTAAAACATCTGGCAAGGTTGATAAACAATGCTTACAACTTCTCGTTAGCAATTTTTATAGTTGCTTATGATGTGCACGAGCAATGCTTAATGCTTTTTACATTAGTCAGGTTAGCTCATAATACTTTGATCAGTGTGTATAGTAGGCCCACAATTCTCATGTTTACAGTAACTTGCATTGTTAATAACATGTATGACCCAGAGGATGAGAACTTGAATCACAAAAGATGTTTCCAACATGAAGGTAGATTGAAATGTTATTTTTGTTTTAAATGATTATGAATAGAGTACATCTTTGTACGTATCGACCATAGATACTTGTTTAGCATGCTACACATGGATGCTAGAGTTTTGTAAAGCAAGTCTGTCATGTTTAAATTGTTTTTATTATACAGAACAGTAGTAGCACCAATAAAGGTAATATCATACTCTAAAAGTCTTATGTTTGACTTTTTCTTTTCACATCCTAAACTAATACAAAATATAATACCACCCTTTTTTGTTTTTATGGCAATACTACTAAGACTTTTTTGCTCCCATTGCTAATTTTAAACTACTGTCCAGAGGGAAGACAGTCAGCAGAACTCT